AAGAGGGTAAATGAAGCGATGCATGAATAAATGTTTTCTGTACAGCTCTTCTGTCTTTTGTCTGATCATCTGACAAATGTTTATTATCTAACTAATGTGTGCATTGTGCCATGCAGGTCCACAGTGAGTCACAGAAAGTTACACGGCACTTATCAAGCTTGTTGCCTGGCTGGGAATAAGAGGGGAAGACAGGTGTTGTCACACCAGATGCCAACATGCTAAGATTGGATCCTGGAGAGGATGCTGGAGCTGGTGTCCTAAAGAGGGCTGCTGCTGTTCAGCCCTCGAGGGTTCTGGTCAGTCAGAGAGTACTGTGACAATCTGCACTACGGTTTTCTGAGTGGGAAACCCAGAACATTCCTGTCAGAATCTTCTATGCATTGTATGAACTTATGAATGAATGAGCATATGGGTAGTAGGTATTGTCTTACATCCTGTAAAGAATATTTGGTGCCATCCATCTTTGAACTCTTGTTTCCCAGGAAGTGTCAGCCTCGGTAAGCAGTAGATCGGTGCTATGGGGTTATATAAATAGTGACATTAGGTTGCAGATGTTCCGATTCCAGTCTGTTCTTTCCCGGCACCATTACTTTCTTGGGGGAAAGCCATAGCTTCTTGTCTGACTGAAACAAGTACTTAGGCAAGGCCCTTGACCTTGGGGTGGCAGGAGCTGCCTTCATTTGAAGAGGCTAGCTCCTCCTCCTGGTGCTCCTTCACTGACCTTTGTGGACTGGTTTTCAGTAACTGTCAGTAGTTCCATGCTTTGGTTAGAACCACAGAGCAAGAGGCAGCAGACAGAGAAATCAACAGTTCCTACTTCCCACTCTCTCTTCTTTTGCAAAGGCCAGTAACAAATTCCTAGCAGAGAACACTCTTCTACTGTTGCGACTGCTGGCCTGGCTGGCTGCCTGCTTCCTGCCCCCTCTGTATGTGTGTATGGAGGCCAGTGGTCAACATTAAGCATCCTCCTCAATCATTCTCCATCTTAGTTTTTTGAGACAGAGTCTTCCACTGAGCTAGACCTCACCAATTGGCTAGACTGACTCACCAATGAGCCCCATGTCTCCATCATCTTTCTCACCAGTGATGGGTTAGAGATGCTAGTTATTGAATCAGGCATTTATGTGGGAACCGGAGATCTGAACTCAGGTCCTCATGCTTGCAAAGTGGGCACTTTACAAAACAAGCCACCTCCACAGCCTCATACTTTTGCAGTTTGTCAGAGGAAAAGGAGTCTATAGCTTTAACATATTTATGTCTTGGTGACTAGAAAGATAAAGTCAGGAGATGCTGTTATGGGAACTGATTGATGTCTTGAGGACCTAAAGTGAAGCAGTTGCTAGTAAAAATTAAAATATTAAAGCTAGAGAGATGGCTCAGTGTTTAAGAGAAGCCAAATTTGGTTCCTACCTCGGATGGCTCACAACTGCTTGTATTTCTATCTCAGGGGTATCTAGTGCCCTCTTCTGTCCACCACAGGCACCTGTACACACGTAGAATATACTCACATAGACACA